GAGCTTTCTTGTCATGCAAACCTGCTATCCTGAGTTTGACCCTTCGAACCCTGGGTGGGAGGAGAGCTTTGACTACCATGGCATAATTGCACTGGGACACACACCTGCATGCTAGCTGGGCGGAGGTGGCACACACCTTTAATACCAGAACTTGGGGGGCAGAGGCAGATGGATCTCTGTGAGTTCAAGGCCAGACTGATCTATAGAGCTAGTTCCAGGACAGCGAGGGCTGTTACACAGAGAAACCCTGTCTTGAAAAACCAAATAAATAAAAAATTGCACCAGCACAGACATCTACAGTACTAATAACAAATAAGATTAAATTGAGAGTATTCGTATGGGCTGGCAGAGTATTTATTATTTATCGGTGACAGATCACGTCCCTAGAATGTGTAAGAACCGGGTGCAGTCCCCAGTGCTAACATACACGCAACTGGGTCTTTTTGAAATACATGTTCCAGTTCTTTGTATAATAAATGGAAACTTGGAAGGAAATTTTGTTTTAAAAGTGATTTTAAAAATTAAGTTTAATTAGATCATGTATTTATTGTGTGTACACATTCATGTGTGGGGGTTTATAGTCATGTATGCCTGCATGTTTGGAGGCCAGAGGCCAGTGCTGGGTGTCTTCCTGTACTGTTCACATGACTTTGGAGACAGGGTCTCTTTCTGAAGCAGGAGCTCAGTGACAGGACTGGGGGACCAAGAAGTCTACGGAAACCTCAGCACCGGCTATAGGAGTTCTTCACACCCAACTCGCAGATGTCGGAGATCTGACATCTCTAGCCCCTAAGGTAACTCTTTAAATTGATAAACACAAATTGTATGTATTTATGACTAAAACATGGTGTTTGAATATATCTATAGTTTCTGGGAAGACTAAATCAAGCAGTTTTAGCATATATAACACATATGTATATTTTCTTTCTTTTTTTAAATCTTTTTTTAAATATATATACAAGGTTTCATATAGCCCAGACTGACCTCTAACTTGATGGCAGGCAAAGATGGATGACCTTGAGGTTCTGACTTCCCGGCTCTCCCTCTAAGTGCTGGGATTTTAGGCGTTACCACCACACCTAGCTAGGTGGATTGGGGGTTGAACTTGTCTTTGTGTTTGCTAGGCAACAAATTGAGCTACATCTCCAGCCCACATGCTTATCATGTATGTGTGTGTGTGTGTGTGTGCGCGTGTGTGGTAAGAACACTTAAAACCTATTCTCAGCAATTTATACCTGTATATAGTTATTAACTGTAATAATTATGAAGTATAAAATTCTATGCCCTCTTTGTGGACTGAATAATACATCCAGGGAGCTGTTCTGGTGCCGGTTTCCTTATCTGATTATTTCAAGTATGAAATGAAGTGAAATATATTATTTATCTACCTAAGGTATGTTACATAATCAGCATAATTAAGAAAGACTATTCTGTTTTTAGATTTAATTATTTTTAGGTATATGACTGTTTTGTCTGCATGTATGCATGCATACCATGTGCATGCCTGGTATCCATGGAGGTCAGAAGAGGGCATCAGATCTCCTGGAACTGGAGTTACAGACTGTTGTGAGCCACTCTGTGGGTCCTGGGACTGAACCCATGTCCTCAGCAAGAACAGACAATGCTCTTTTCTTAAACTTTATTTTTTATTTATTTTTGTCTTTCACATCATGCATTCCGATCCCACCCATCTACTCTCTCTGCTCCTGCAACCTCCCCCGCCACAATAAACAAAATAGAATTTAAGATAAAAAAGGAGGGGAAATGAAGACAGTGTTCAAGGCCCCTGGACACTGCTAAACTATTGACACTGGGTCCTCACTAGGACTCTTCCTCCGCATCCAGTTGCTGTCCTGTGTCGTGGACAGTCTGTATTCCTGGATCCAAAGGACCCTCCACACCTCCACCACCTCCTGCCCTCCAACAAATCCCAGATGTCGGGGTGGGCCAACACTTAGCCCTGGTTCTGGGCCAGCAAGGTAGGTCGGCCCTCCAGCTCTCTCTGTCTTCACACCACCAGCCCAGCCCAGGCTAGTTCATCCCGAGCAGCCATAAACAAGGGGCGGGGCCAGTCCCCAGACTTTCAGGCCCTTTGGGACAGTTCTTCTCACCATCCCCTTCAGGGACAGCTCTCCTGTGCTGCCCAGTTCAGGTACAGGACCACTCTCCTGAGTGCTGCAGCTGATGAGCGGAAGGAAGAGCTCTCCTGCTCTTAGGGCCTCAGGCCCAGATGGGGGAGGAGGTTATATTCCCCCCCCTCAACCCCACACCCCTCAATGCTGCCACAGAACAAATGAGTAATGGGAGCAGCTCTCCCATCGGCCTCAGGTGTCGTTGGGGGGTGGGGGGCAGACAGTGCTCCTAAGTGCTGAGCCATTGCTCCAGCCCCAGTCAGCCTATTTTAAAATAAACTTTAAAGTAACATATGAGGAAAGGCAAAATTAAAACACAAAAAGGTATACGCACTTATTTGTCACTTCTGGGGACAGGGTTTGGGACACAGTTTGCCAGTGTAGTCCAGGTTGTCCTCAAACTCAAAATCCTCTCGCCAGACCTCTAGGGGGTGGATTAAAGGTATGAGCCAGGCCCAGTTAATGCTTCCTTCCATTGCTACAGTTACCACTTGGAATCTCCAGCCAGAAATCGGATTTTTACCGTTGACTAAGAAGCAGGGTTGACAGAACAGTGGATGATAAAGTTCTAGTCAGAACCAAGCGCAACAACACGGCTCCTCTGGCCAGATTCCAGTGTGAGTGGTTTACATTCTCCAACTGCAAAATAAATTTTATTATTAGCCAACACTTGTCCATCCCAGCGACATACACAGCACATAGGGTAGAGGCCTCTCTTGGCGGGTCGGCAGGCTGTACATACTTTCCACTCAGGGTGCCTTCCCTTTGGAGCTGTGGCATAGTTTCTCACCCTCCACTAATTCCAAGCCTAGAATTTTCGTAGACCTTGAGTGCCAAGCAGTTACTAAGAACAAAAGAAGTTAAATATGAACACCCATAGAGCTCTGGGAAGCGGAGCAACTCACATTTTAAGCATTTATCGATAGCCATGGTGTCCGTGAAGAGATAGTTTATTCCTTTTTAAACTTTGTGACTGAGATTAAAATACAGTTTCATTAGCGTCCACAAAGCCTGTTGATACACAGAAGGTGGCTTTTTTTTGCCCTTACAAATGGCATGGAAAATGACAATAAGACTCAACAGATCTCAGGCCCTGAGGCCAGTCCCAAGTCTTTCAAGTAGCCTTAGGCCCGCTCCCTTTTTCGATTTTTTTTTCCCTCAACGGAAGAAAAGGTTGAAGGAGCAGTATACAATTTAAAGCCTCTTTATAAGCATGTGAGTGAATTTCAAGAATGCTGAACTCCTCAGTCTCCCATCCTAATTAGAACGCGTAGAAAAGCGACATTTATGGGACGTTTAAAATTCGCAGCATACTAGCCCATCAGGAGAGCGCCACTGTGTGTCCCTGCGTTGACTGCCTGCAGCAGGTTTTCCCCGCGGTCCTGCCTGCCTGCCCGCCTCCCAGGGGGTCCAAACCTCGCAGCAGCCAGCCCCTGGTGACCCAGCACCCCGAGCTGTACACACCCTGCCCCAGACGGAGATTTTCTCTGCGGGCGACTGAGTACTTGCCCGGGATTATAAACCTCGACTGCTAAAGCCTAATATTTCTAGTGCCTTCCAAAACGGAAAAGAAATTCACTCTCTTCACCACAGTAAGATTTTGTTGCATATACGAAAGCGCAAAGTCTGGACAATAATCGGCATTTCTAGAGGAGGTGGGAGTAGCTAAGACTGTTTCAGATTCCAAGTTTGCCATCTGAACGCCTGCTGGGTACCAGGGCTCGCACAGGGAGGAGCAGAAGTTTGTCAAGGTCTCTCTGTCTCGCTAGCTCGGCCGTGTAGGTCAAGTTCTGAGTCGTTCTGGCCTTAGAATCCCACGGAATTCAGCTCGCCTACCAAGGTGTAAACGATTAACAAGCACGTGGTTGCTCATTAAGTATCGGCGCCTCTGTCACCCTGCACAAGGCAGACCAGAAGGGAGACGGGTGGCACAGCTGAAATTGACCTCTCCGTTCCTCTTGTTTAAAAGCGCCTGGCCACCATGAGGACGCTGATCCGGAGAGAGGTGGCCTGGTGGAGGCCCTGGAAGCGGGAGTTCAGAAAGCAGACCCTTTCGGGGAAAGAGAGTCGGAGACAGGCCGGCAGCCGCAGGGAACTGCAGAAGGACTTAGGACCACGTTTCCCGCCCGCGTTCTCTAGGCGGCCTGATTAGCATTGACCACGCCCTCGTCACTTCCCGGCCCGCTATTGGCTGACGCTCTTCCACCGCCCGCTCCGGGCGGGGCCGCGGGGCGCTCACGGAGAGGCCGGGGCGACCGGGGAGGTGGGCGGGGCCGCACGAAGCGCTCGGTGGGGCGCCCGGCTCCGGGCCGGGCGGGAGGGGGCGGTCCGGGGGCGGGGCCTCCTGGCGGGCATTAGAGGCAGGTGACCCGGGCGGGGCGGGAGAGGGCAGTCAGCCTGCGGCCGGCCGCGACTCCTCCGCGCCGCTGCCGTCGCGCACCGCTCGGAGGGAGCTCGCTGGAGGTGGGCGAAAGTGTGCGAGAGCGCGGGGGAGGAGCCGAGCGGGGTGCGTCCCGTGAGCGCCGCCGCCGCCCCCCCGGAGTCTGCTGGAGCGCGGAGCCCCCTGCAGGGGAGGCAGCGAGCGGCTGGCGGGACGCGGCGGAGGGCGCGGACCATGCAGTCCCGGCCCGGCCAGTGCCGGCTGCTCGCTGTGCAGTGAGGTGGCGGGGTCCCCTCCGGCCTCCGCACCCCTCGTCCTTCAAGCCCAAGTGCTGCCCGGCGCCCTTACCCTTCGTCTGGGCCCCGGGACACCGGTGGAAGGCACGGCCTGTCCTTGCCCTGCTCTGCTCGAATCATGCCGGGGGCCCCGAAAGAAGAGAAGGCAACTGACCGGCCCGCGCCAACCGTGGTCGAGGGGCTCCCTGCTCTCTGAAACGTCCCCCACCTGCTGCCATGTGTCGCCGCCACAGGTACCTAGCTTGTCGTTAAACTTTTCCAGCTCTGGCCGGATTCGGAGTCGCGGGACGGAGGAGCCCGGCTGGCTGCAGACGTCTGCCGCCCAGCAGGATTCTCGGAGGTGAGAGCCCGCGTCTTCCCCCTAATCCCAGTTCTCCCGGTTCCTCTGCCCCTTTCTCCAGGACTGTGCTCTCTGGCCCCAGGCACAGCCTGCAGGGTCGGGCCAGGAAAGGGAGGCAGGCGCGGGGAGTGGAGTTGGGGGAGTCTTAAGTTTGATTCCAGGAGGTGGAGGGGTGAAAAGGAGTTAATCTAGAGTTTGGAGACCGGGTACGAAGACCGAGTGGTTGGTGCTCCTCTAAGAGGGAGTGGTTGCGATTTTTCTTACCCTACCCTTTCTTTTAAGAGTTGTGTCCTTGGAATCGGAGCCTTACTAGTCTCTCCAGCCCTCTCTGGCGCGGAGCGCTGCCGGCGGAGGCAGCGCCTTCCCGAAGCAGATTATCTTTGCACGGATTTCTTTAAGAGAAAAAGAAACCAACAGGTTGCCAGCCCGGGCGTCACACTCAAGATCCCGGAGAGGGAAGCCCCGGCCGCGGATTCGTCGGTCAGCGCCGACCCTCACGGGCACCGGGAGGCAAGGGGAAGAAGGGGGCGATGGCCAGGTCCGACCCGTCCGCGTCGCCTTCGCTGCTCCTGCTGCTGCTAGCGCAGCTTGTGGGCCGGGCAGCGGCCGCCTCCAAGGCCCCGGTGTGCCAGGAAATCACGGTGCCCATGTGCCGCGGCATCGGCTACAACCTGACGCACATGCCCAACCAGTTCAACCACGACACGCAGGACGAGGCAGGCCTGGAGGTGCACCAATTCTGGCCGCTGGTGGAGATCCACTGCTCGCCGGACCTGCGCTTCTTCCTGTGCTCCATGTACACACCCATCTGCTTGCCCGACTACCACAAGCCGCTGCCACCGTGCCGCTCCGTGTGCGAGCGTGCCAAGGCCGGCTGCTCGCCACTCATGCGCCAGTACGGCTTCGCCTGGCCGGAGCGCATGAGTTGCGACCGTCTCCCAGTGCTGGGCGGCGACGCCGAGGTTCTGTGCATGGATTATAACCGAAGCGAAGCCACCACCACGTCCCCTAAGTCCTTCCCGGCCAAACCTACCCTCCCAGGCCCACCAGGAGCGCCATCTTCCGGGGGTGAGTGCCCCTCGGGAGGACCATCTGTATGCACTTGCCGTGAGCCCTTCGTGCCCATCCTGAAGGAGTCACACCCTCTTTACAACAAGGTGCGTACCGGCCAGGTGCCCAACTGTGCGGTGCCCTGCTACCAGCCGTCCTTCAGCCCCGATGAGCGCACGTTCGCCACCTTCTGGATTGGCCTGTGGTCTGTGCTGTGCTTTATCTCCACGTCCACCACCGTTGCCACCTTCCTCATCGACATGGAACGATTCCGCTACCCTGAGCGCCCCATCATCTTCTTATCTGCGTGCTACCTGTGTGTGTCGCTGGGATTCCTGGTGCGCCTGGTCGTGGGCCATGCTAGCGTCGCCTGCAGCCGCGAGCACAGTCACATCCACTATGAGACTACTGGCCCTGCACTGTGCACGGTCGTCTTCCTCCTAGTCTACTTCTTTGGCATGGCCAGCTCCATCTGGTGGGTCATCCTGTCGCTCACCTGGTTCTTGGCAGCTGGCATGAAGTGGGGCAACGAAGCCATCGCAGGCTATGCCCAGTATTTCCATCTTGCTGCCTGGCTCATCCCCAGTGTCAAGTCCATTACAGCGTTGGCACTAAGCTCCGTGGACGGGGACCCGGTGGCCGGCATCTGCTATGTGGGCAACCAAAACCTAAACTCGCTGCGTGGCTTCGTTTTGGGCCCACTGGTGCTCTACCTGCTGGTGGGCACGCTCTTCCTTCTGGCGGGCTTCGTGTCTCTCTTCCGCATCCGGAGTGTCATCAAGCAAGGTGGCACTAAGACAGACAAGCTGGAGAAGCTCATGATCCGCATTGGCATCTTCACTTTGCTCTACACGGTGCCAGCCAGCATTGTGGTGGCCTGCTACCTGTATGAGCAGCACTACCGGGAAAGCTGGGAGGCTGCCCTCACCTGCACGTGTCCAGGATCCGACTCTAGCCAGCCGCGCGCCAAACCCGAGTACTGGGTGCTCATGCTCAAATACTTTATGTGCCTGGTGGTGGGCATCACGTCGGGAGTCTGGATCTGGTCCGGCAAGACCCTGGAGTCTTGGCGGCGTTTCACCAGCCGCTGCTGCTGCAGCTCAGGGCGGGGCCACAAGAGAGGTGGCGCTATGGCCGCAGGGGACTATGCTGAGGCCAGCGCAGCGCTCACCGGCAGGACCGGGCCGCCCGGCCCCGCCGCTGCCGCATACCACAAGCAAGTGTCCCTGTCGCACGTCTAGGAGGCCTGTAGGCCCAGGGACAGTGCCGGAGTTGAAGGAGGGGCTTGTTTTGCTTGGTAACTTTGTGAAGGTCACTTCCGTTTACCTTCTTGGTGCTGGTACCCCCTTCCTGAGGGGCTTGGAGAGGGAAAGGGATCGGTTTCAAGAGAGTACCTGTCTCCAGTCTTCTACCAGGGGGCTCAGCTCACGTGCGGTGTATTCTAGTTTGTATTTCTTACTGCCTTCTTTAGAAGAACCCAGTTTTTAATTTATATGTATTTTAATTTTTAACTTTGTTGCATTTTGGCAACAAAAATACCTTTGCTTTGGGGACTTCACAGTCCTCAAGCGGGCATTGTAATGAGGTTACCCTTGGTTCAGGTTTCTTTGGACTGTGTGGTCTAAATTAGGAAAATATATTTCCTATCCGTGTGTCTTTTTTATGTGAATAGTGAAGGCTGCTGTGACTGGGAAGGTGTGGAGTGCCTTTTTTTTTTTTTTTTTTTTTTAAAGCCTAGTTTTCCTTACACTGCTTAGAATGTCCAGGACACTTAGCGACCAGAGGCCATCTGCTGTCCTCCCTGGGAATGGATCCTAATGTGCTAAGGACGATCCCCAAGTGACGAGGGAGCTGGAGATTTTGTGATCCTCCTTAACCTTGCCCAGCAAGCCTTGGGCTCTTTTCAACCTGGCTGCAGTCCTTCTCATTCCTGATAGAGCCGGTGTCCTATAGAGCTGGATGTGAATTCTGAACTTTGAGCCGGAGAGGGAGTGGGTGCTTCGTAAGAAGCTCCAGGGATCCCTTATTAGTATTTTTAAAGAAAAGAAACTTGTGCTACACATTTTTGTAAAAGTAAACCCACTCCCTTCTTCTGGAGGTACTTAGGAATCCTTGCTAAAGGGGACTCTCTTTTAGATTAAAGGACAAAAAACGGATATGCTCCCAGTAATTAAAGTAAATTCCCATTGCTTCTTATCTGCTCCTCCCACCCCACCTCCTTTATCATGTTAAACAGTCTTTCTTGCTTTTCTTATTCCTCCTCCTGGAGTGCGGTGATTAGAAGCCACGCCCACCCTCCAATGAAGTGCTGCAGTTTGGGAGCGAGGCTCGTTACCTGGGAACAAACATTGGCTTGGAGGAAGGAAAACAAGTGTCCCTGAACTCGGGGCTAGTTTAAAGCCAGAAAGCCCCAAAGCAGCAGCACTGTCCTCTGGTAGCCTCCGGAAAGCAAACAAGACCCATAACTTACGCTCTGTAGAATGGGGCAGTGTAATACCTACTGCCCGAGGGACCCCCGCCCCCCGCCCCGCTCTCTTTGCCTCCTTCTCTGAAAGCCCGTCTAGTGACGATCCCCCCCCCCCACACACACACACAGAGTTTCTCTGCTATTAGAAAAGTCTGTTTGCTTTCCTAATCTGTTTAACCATTCATTCACCAAGAGTGTGAGGCCATTACTGGGGGAAAAGTGCGTGCACCAGCCAGCAAGTGCCGGTGACCAAGACAGAGTGGGAACTAAACTTAGGGAGAGAAAATGGCCAAGCAATTAAAACGTCACAAAGCTTTCCTAGCAAAACAGCTGGAGTCTAGGCATCCCGGTTTTCATTTGCAGCGGCTGGGGGTGGGGTGGGGGATTTAAGCCTGAGTCAGCTTTACCTCCCAGGTACTGAGCGGAGAAATGCAACATTCCCACTGGGAATTTAAATGCCTAAGACTAAATCTTTAGGTTGCTCTGAAGCCGTTCACGTTTGTAAACTGCAGTACCCTTACTCACTGATTTGAATCAAAATGAAAACTTTACTGGCTTCCACAAAATCTCTACCCCTAGCTGTAGAACTCTGGGATTGTCTTACTCTGTTTATTCAGAAACCTCTTCCGGGAAGCTCAATAGGCTCCCTGTCTTCTCCTGTTTTTCAAATGAGGCCCTTCTTATCTACCACCTTAACCTCTTGGCTTGTTTAGCGTCTTCCCGGAGTCAGCTGTGTCTAGTTTGGGTTGTTTCCTCTTCACAAAGAAAATTGTGGAGGAATCTAGAAAAGACATCAGTGTATCTAAAAGTTGTGGGATGAAGTGGATGAAATGATTTAATTTGTTTAAAAATGTTTTTTTTTTTAATCTTAGCAACATGCTAAAGTAGAAAAAAAGAACAATTAATTCCCTTTGGAAATAAGAAAGCTGGAACAGACGCGATGCCAAGGCGGTGGCCTGTGGAGGTTTGGAAGCCTCAGAAGTCTCCTTTGTTTCTTCTCCTCTTTGCTCCTCTTTCTTCTCCCCTACCCTAAGGAGACAAAGAGAGCCCACCTGCTTCCCTTACCGACACCAGCCCCGGAATGGCCGCCCCCCCCCCTTTCCACCACACATGTTTCTCTCCTTCGCATTTCTGTCATGCTAACAGTGAATGAAATGACACAGAGAGCTGTGGGCTAGTTCAGCAACTGCTCTGCCAGTTTCTGCTGCTGGGGAGGACTTAGTGCTGCTCTGGCCACCTTGCCCACCTCTGTTAGCGCTGCACAGGTTAGAGGGTGAGGATTTAGGTAGCTGAAGACATGGGGCCTTAGTGACTCCAGTGGCCAAATGTTAGGAAGGTTTGGTTTTTATTTTTTTATTATTATTTAATTTTATATTATTTCCCTCCTCACATTTTGAAGTTGTCTAAATTGGATGAAAATCATTTTTCTTGGTGCCTTATTGGCTTATTCTTGCAACCCTTTGTCATGTTCTCATGTGACCATTGCCAGTGACCGGGGCCTGCGTGCATGCCTTGTGTGTAACTGTGCACGTGTACAAGCTTAAATAATGTGCCGATGGCACTTGTTCCAAGTTGGTATTCATTAGGCTGTTCCCTCCTGGGCCAGGGCAGCACTAATCTTGACACCGGCTGCCAGGAGAACAGGTCCTGGATCGTACACAGAACCGTAATAACAGCGGCCGTGCCCTGCCCGGGGAGTGTAGAATGGGAACCCCAGAGCTCGGAAGCACAGTTGTCCGCGTTAATGAACTGCTGCCCCGCGAAGAAAGCTCCTTTCACTTTTGTGCTCTACAGAAGGGCCAAGGGGGGTAGGGAGGACAAAGCTTTGAAAGAGTGCTTTCCAGCACCGGACGTGGCAGACAGGACCCAGCACATCACAAACCTAGGCAGGTGTGAGGGCCGGTGGCTAAGAATTGCCTGCTGCCTCTCTTGTGTTCTTTCTTGTCTCCGAAGTCCAATCAAGTGATCCCGGGAAAGAAACAGCCTGGGCTGGGGAGCACGGCTCAGAAAGAAAAACTCTCCGGACATGAAAGAAGGGCGGGCAGGTTGTAACTAACCCGATTCAAACTCTCAGAAGCTTTTGCTAGCTTGATGACAATTGCAGGATTTTTTTTTTCCCATCCAGGATAATGTCTGTCTGTGGCACATCATTTTAAGACAACATTAATTTACATTGTTACAAACTATGTATAGTATGTATGTTTTGTGGGTGTGTATATACGTAATATATATTATATACATATATATATATATATGAGAGAGAGATTTAGTGACTTTTGATACGGGTTGGTGCAGGTGAATTTATTACTGAGCCAAATGAGGCACATACCGCGTCAGTAGCTGGAGAACAGGACATGCAGTGCTGTGTGTGGTTCGCATACATGGAAAGTGCCTACCCCATGCAGTAAGAATCATTGCTATCGCGCCAAATCCAGCACTCACAAATCAGAGCCAGCAATATCTTATTTGTAGACAATCAGCTTGAACCTATAGATTATGACTGGCAATGGCTATAATTCTGAATCCATAACATTAGCAAAAGGAGACACAGAGTATCTTGAGAAGGGGTTTGCTTTGTGCCTGGAAGTCGGTGCAACAGCAATTGTGTGTGGTTGTGTTAGTCTCAAGATTAACTTGTTGACCTGATTATTTTGGAAATTTTTTGTATTATATTTGTGGGAAGGTAAAATAATGGTTTTCAGATTTTTATCAAATATGGAGATTAGTTATTTATGAAAAACAAAGAAATGTCTATTTTTGTTTCTTTGTTCCCAATTCATGTAGATAACTTTTTAAAATGCATTAAAGCAATGGTGAAGAAAACGCAATAATGCTGTCGCGTCTTTTTCTCCTATTTATCAAGAAATGCATAGAATCTGAGATGCAGATTCTAGCCTGATCACCAGATGTCTCAGATTTCTTTAGAGTATAAGCAACTGAATTTTCATCGTATTTCAATCACAAGAGGAACACATTTTCCTGACCTGTGCTTCCTGGATTTTTCCCGCCTGTACTGTGGTTTGCTTCATTATCCATCTGATGAAGGGAGCTCCATGGGAGAGCAGAGACGTCATTTGACTGTGTTCTGTTTTATAGTCATGTGTTCATTGTCCTATTTGATAAGCCGCATGCTCTGTGTGTCTGGTTGAGGGGCAGGTGTCGAAATCAAATCAGGAGCTGAGAGGACCAAAATTTATTGAGAATGATACCCAGTTCTCTTCCATGTCCCCAGATAATGTGACTGGGCATCAGAATACTTATTACTGGACTAGCTTCTGCATGTGGGTTCCTGCCTTGGGAAATTCAACTAAGTCCCTAAGGTAACACTACCTCATGGTGTTCTCAGGCATTGTGGGAAAATGTGAGGGAAAGATGGGTACTTAAGGCTTTAAACGTAAGGGGCAGAAACAATAATGTCTGTTAGAGGGAGACTGGTTGTATGGGTATACTGAGGCTGACCGTTGGTTCGGATCCCAGCTCCACCTCTCATAGTCCCTGTATTTCAGAGTTCTCATTTCTGAAGAGAGAATAGTTACATTTGGAGGTTAAATGAGGTGAAGCTAGGAGTCTGCAGCTCTTCCCAGGAAGAGAGGCCAGCTTTCTCAGGGTCTGCATAATAATCAATGGGGGCTCTTCCTGGGAAATGCATCCCAGTCTCAGCCCCAGGACTGGAGATTTAGTTAGCCCTGGGACTTTCGCTGGGTTTTGTTTTTTATAAAGATATTTAAATTTGGGAGTAGTTTTATGTAAATCCAAGATTACTCATTTAAAAAATTGCATGTATAATTAGGAGTCCTTGTTTGTTCCTTACCCTCACTTCTAATGCTAATCCTCTGTTTTTTTTTGTTTGTTTGTTTTGAGACAGAGTCTCTCTATGTAGTGATAGCTATCCTGAAACCACATAGACCATACATAGGCTGGCCTAAACTCAGAGATCCACCTGCCTCTGGGATTGCTGGGATCAAGCATGTGTTAATGTCTCAACCATGGTACGTGTTACAACTAGAAAGTCTTACTCCATCAGATTTCATACTAATGTCCTGGGACCCAGAGTTCAAGACACCGTAGTATTACATTTAGAGAAGGCTCACTGTTCGTGGGTTTTCATCTGACGAGAGCTGGTCTGGTGACCCGACGGAGAGACAGTGGGTATTTAAATACAGTAAATCAAGTCATGGAACTGCCGAGCAGTGTTGAGTTGGAAGCGACCGCTCTGGGAGTGTGGGTGGGCTGGTGCAGGTGAGCTAAGTAGCCGGTTATCCTGTAATCCACAGAAAGTCTGCATTTCCTTGAACCTGTCGCCAATGGAGGGCTTTTATGGTAGCCAGTGTGAGGCGTGCCATATTGGGCATTGGCCAGAAAGGTTGCAGGTGACAAAGCTGTGGTGTCTACCGCAGCAGGCCCTCAGGGGCTTGAGCCAGGTAAGTGGGGGGAGAAGGGGCATAAAGAAGCTCAGTCCGTGGAGGGATTAGTTCTACTAGAGAACAACCATTTGAACTTCAGGTGCTCTCTAGACTTGAAGGGTGAGGAAAGGGAGCAGCAGGGTTTTTTAAGGCAGGTTTATCTGGGTATCCTTTGAGGGCCTCAGAAATACATTAATTGGTGTCTTGCTGAGGCTAAGTTCTGGGAATACAAATGAATTTCCTTGGGCACACTGAAACTGCAGTTTTTACAGCAGTTGTAAGGCTACGTGTTTTAAAAATATTTTATTAAAGACTTTCCAGACTTTTCCCTTTTAAAAGAATGTTAACTTTCTACTGGAGTCAGGATCCCTCATCTATATACATCCCTTCCTGCACCCCGAAGAGCTCAAAGCACAAGGTGGGATTGCTAACATTTATCTCACACCAAGTGATGTTCTCTTTCTGGAAGACCCACTTCAAACGGCTGAGTGAAAAGAGCCCAAGAAACCAAGGTTGCTCTCAAGTACGAGGGGAAACTGCCCCATCCTATCCTTCCTGGCATTTGCTGGCACAGTGTCAGGCCACCAGACAGGTTACGTGGCTGGCAGACTGAGGTAATCTTATGCTAGACTTGTTGGCCCATACAGGCATTTTGCATAGAAACTACCACTTTACCTTGGGATAGTTCTCTGCTGAGGGCTTTCTTTCCAAACAGTACTATCTTAAGAATGCAGCTCTGGGTGAAGGACCAGGCAGGCAAACCTGAGTTGTGAAAGGTTTGAGTTACCCTGCAAAGCTTAGCTTATGAAAGCAGTCTAACCTGATACCTGTGTTGTATACTGATGATGTCTTTGAACCAGGGAATACTGTATTTAGGGATATAAGAAACTAAACCAAGCTGAGCTGTCATAAAACCAAAGTTCTGTGTTGTTAAATTTAAAGAAAAAAAAAACAGGAAATATGAAAGGGTGGGCTGGGTTAGAATCTGATGCAGTCAAAGAAATCTAATCCTAAACACAGAGGGAATTACTAAGCAACCACTTTTCAGCCTGCAGGAATGGTAGTTTTACTGGGATCAAACATGCACTTCAGATCTTTCTTTTCTGTATAATCCAATTATCATACACTAGTTAAAACTCTGAGGTCAGTGCGGTTCACGCCTTTTATCTCAGCACTCTGGAGGCAGAGGCAGAGGCAGGAGGATCTCTGAGTTCAAAGCCAGCCTCATCTACAGAGCAAGTGCCAGGCCAGTGAGGCCTGTATAGTGAGACCTTGTCTCAAAAATATATACAAATCCAGACAGACAACCATCACCACCAGTCTTCTAAGACAAATGCGGAATGGACGATCCAGGCAGACGTTAGAATACAGAGCCCTGAGAAGATGCTAGTTAGCACCCTACTGGTGATTTGGTTTTCATGCCTTGTCTGTCAGGAGACCCTACCCACTTTCAGTGACATTTACATTCTCAGAATGACTCAAGTTCTAGTATCAAGGTCAAAGAGGGAGAAGCAATTCCCAGTGATATTCATGGTACCTACTTACTGCAATTCCCAGTGATACTCATGGTACCTACTTACTGCAGACACAATCCCTTTCTCAGATCATCGTTACATCTCAACACCCATGCAACAGCAGCATGTCAGATCTATTGAGAGCTGTAGTTACAGCCATTAGGTACCTGATACAGATGTTGGGACTCGAACTCAGGTACTCTGCAAGAGCAATACAGGCTCTCACCCACTGAGCCATCTCTCTGGCTGCAAGATACAAATTCTTATGTGTGTTTTTGGTTTTTTCCCTATCTTGGGTTTCTCTGTGTAACCAGGCTGGCCTCAAACTCAGAGGTCCATGGCCTACCTCTGCATCCTGGGTGCTGGGATTAAAGGTTTATGTATGACAGATTTTCCCTTCCTAAAATTGTCAGTTCAGTTATCCTATGTCAAGAACCAAGGGGCCCATCACTGAAAGATCTGACTTCAAGTACTGAGAAGTATATGTGCAGCACATGCAGGATTTAATACCAACTGTTTATGTCAGGACCCTCGCCAGTGAGCAGAGGTAGGGCTGTTCAACATTTCCAGACCTGCCAAGGGTGAGATCCCTGTTCAAAACAAAAACAATACCCTTAGGTTGATTGGGTTTATTCCCACATGGGATGCAGACTTGAAACATCATGCAGCAAATTTTAAGCAACCTCAAACCTCAATCCAAATTCCCATACTTGTTTTATTCCCTGTGGAACATGTTCTAATTCGACACTATTCTAGCTACTTCTTTCTCTTTGGTGTATACCTATAATCACATCTACTGGGATCCTTCCTGACTCGCCAGTGCTGCACGATGTCACTAAGGACCATGGCTAGACAGACTCCTGGTATAATATCTTCAGGCAGAAAACAGTCTAAGCAGACAACCACTAGTCCTGAACTAGACCATGAATCAAGTTGGAAACTATGTAAGTTTTCAGACCAAGGTAAAAAACACACGTTCTAGAGATATATAATGCCCTGTGGACAGAGAAGTGGTACAAACAACACTAGCCATATTTTAATTAAAATAGAATTTATTAGCTTCTCTTTTAATATAAACATGAGAAAGAAAAACCACATTAAGTTGTAGCATTCTTTTCAAAATAAAACTGCAATCAATACTTGAATCTCTACGCTCTGAACTCCATAAACAATGTTTTTTGAGGTGGTAGATTGTAATATTTCATACATCTTTCCTTAACATTTATGTCTGTCCTTTCCAAACGAAGAACCCAGCAGCACTGAAGCGCCGCGGCCACAAGAGGAAGTATTTTGGCCCACAGAATGCTCGCAGGTAAGATTCCCAAGGTTACACACGAGAATAGAATGCGTGGGGTTGAAAACACAAATATTTTGTTATGTCAAACTTAGGCGCTGCTGTCATAGTTTTCCTAACCATTTCCTCCCCACCTTTTAAAGCCTTGCTCAGGGCTCCTGGGTGAAGTTTAGAGGATGCTGCACCCAGGCAGGCAAACGTGCAGGATAGAGGTGTCTTTTTAAATTCCTCATTTTATCTGCTGTTTGAGGATCTGATTTTTTTTTTCATGTATTATATGTGAGTTAACAGTGTTCTTCATAACCTCCCTTAACTGAATGTAAAGACACTTAGGTGATCAGAGCAGTTAGAACTACCTGAGGGGAGTACTTCCATGGAAATACACAGGAACCCCCAAATCTCAATGCAGGTTTAAACTTCGATAGTTGTAGAGTTATAAACACTACAAAATAATGAAACATTATTTAAAAGTTTTACTTTACCTTTTTTTTTTCAACTTAATCCCCCAAATTTGGAATATCAAGCCTTTATTTTTATTTTATTTTTTTTGGTTCATAGTTTGCAATTGCCAAGAGAAACAATAATTAAAGGCTTAATTATTTCAAATTGGTAAAATTAAAACTTTCAAATGATGTTTTTGTGAAAGCTTGTGGTTTTTCTATGTCTGCTGCAGTGTCCCAAGAGCCCAGGCACAGAACACTTAGTGTAAAAAAAGCATCACTAATTTTGGGGACACCTTGTCTTTTAGATATTTGCTCATGATCACTGGACCACTATGTTGTTTGGCATTGTGAAAATATCTTTTAATACACTTGTTAACATGAGGAAAACCATTGGATAATGAGAAGCACCATTAATAGTTTACAGGAAATGCAGCGTGGACCCAACAGAAGCAGTCAACAACTGATACCTTCTCTTCATGGCTCCAAACATAACAAGAAGCTAGTGAGCAGAGCTGGCAAGGAATATGAATGGTGACTGTTACCCAGGTAACTGAAACTGACTGCCAATAATGCCTAGCAGCTTTGATGACACAGCAGGAGAACTTTTAATACCCAATGATGCTACATTCTGCTCCTAGGTGGCTTCATGAGTGTTAAGTATCCCATGCTTGGGGCTGAGAAGTGTAGCTCAGTGGTCAAGTGTTCACCAAGCACATGCTAAGTCCTCAGTTTGATTCCCAGCACCACAAATGGGAAGAAGTCTCATGTTTTAATGGTAACACTGAATCAGCATATGCAGCAGTTGGACGGGGGTAGGGAGCAAGAAAAACAAGAAAAACCAAAGTTATATGGTTAGTGTCTTTAAAGTCTAAAAATCTGAGCCAGGCATGGGAATCCCAGCATTTGGGAGGTAGAGGCAGGAAGATTAGGAGTTCAAAGCCAGCCTCAATCATATATTGAGTTTGAGGCCAGCCCAGGCTACATAAGACCCTGTCTCAAACGAAAGTCTAAAAGTTGAAACAATTTAAAAACCTCACATACTTCACAGCCATCGGCCTACATGGTAAGCAATATCTGTGTGTGGTCAGAGCTTTTGCTTTGGAGTGGTTTTTGTAACTGTTTACATTACAAAGGACAGAGAGTGGTTGCTTTGACAAGGTCCCATTCTTTCCTATGGAGTCAGCATTCACTGTCCAGACTTTGAGTTCTTTCCATTGGCTGGAGTCCCCCTGCCGGTCTCTGGCCAGGAGAGGGGCTCTTTCTACAGTCTTTGTCAATGAGGAGCCTGGTGCTCTCACTCCTCAGGGCTCTCTTAGGAGAGGATGGCGTTAGAGCGCCGGATACCAATGAAATTATCAGCGCTTAAAGATCTTCTCACCGCGGCTCTACACAAGTCCTTGTATTTGTCTTCACACAATCTTGAAATGGCCTAGGAAAGGCGATCACACAGAACACAGAGATTTAAAAAAGGAATAGAACCTTAAGAAAAATAAAGCAAAAAAAGGAACACAAACTAGCTCCATAGAGTGAATGGAGACTTAACTGGTATACTCAGTTTAGATTCTAACAGATGCGGCCCTGGGCTCTTTGAGGACAAAGGTCTACAGTGCTCTGCCTTGGGGATGCTACTTTCTGTTAGTTTCCTAATCTTTCCAGGGTCATGAAAACTGGGTTCCTTGGGCTCTGAATGAAAAGCGCTGGCTGAGCATGCATGAGAACTGGAGTTTGGATACCTTGGCACGTGGGAATTACATGCCTATAATTCCCATGCTCCTAACTAGTAAAAGGAGGAAGCCAGAGCCTCAGCAAGCCATCTAGCAAACTGGTAAGCTTCCAGGTTCAACGAGACAGATGCCCTGTTTCAAGATGGAAGTGGAGAGTGACTGAGGAAGACCTATCTATGGCAGCCTCTGGCCCCCACACACATCCAAGCTGAGTTTTCAAAGATGTAGACAGGCTTATTACATCAATATCATGTTACTTATATTTGAACTCGGAAGCACCCTCGAGAAGTCTCTGAGCCATCTCCCTAGCCCTTGTTACCACTTTTATGAAAACACTATATCCAGTATGAGAAATACACCTGTATTTTGCATCCTAAACATAGGCCTCTTGTTTTAATCGCTAATGTTGTCTAATACACTCATATTCTACTGACAAATTGTAACCAAGTGAAATGCAGCAGAGTTGTGATTTGTAGGTAGGAATAATTAAGAATATAATTTCAAAAAGCTATCCACATATGATTATGTGGGAATGCAGAGCTTCAAAAGGGAAACAATTATAACTACAAGACTGAATTGTGATCACAGGAGGCAAGATCTACCTCTCTATATAATGTAGATACTTGTGGAAACCATAAAAAGCCCAGGAAATATGATGCCAAAGAGATAATAACATCTTCAATGTGTTAATTTAGAAGCTTCCCGCTGTCCTCACAGGTGCTGGGTGGGTGGCCCCAGCCTTACCTCTAGGTTCTGTGCTCTTTCTTTGCTGAGAGGAGCAAACAGAAAATTCAGGTTGTTGTCATCTGCTAAGGAGCGAAGGTCAAAGTAGTATTTGGCATAAACACTGGCAGGAACGTTAATATTGAACTGGAGTAGCTCCAAGAAATGCCTTTCCATCTCATTCCTGGAGGAGGAGGAACACAGCAAAACTCACACAGGACAATTTTAGTCAACTGGGCTATCTTCAAAATTATCATTCAGAGCTTCTAGAATAGGTCTAAATTTTGTTTGGAACACATGAAGGCTACCCAGCTGGCTTAACAGAATAATGCTTAACCAAGGTAGAACTCTCCGTGGTCCTTTCGGCATCCCGGCACTCTGAGTTTGGGAGGGGAAAGGTTACAGCCCTCCTCTCATGCACTTGTGCTGCTGCCTGGCAGGCTCATTCTTCAGAGTTCCATTAGTGCAGCTGGACGACCCGTATTCCACGCTCACTCACACGGCCCGCTATAGTGAGCAGATGAAAGGAATGATGTATGCTGTTTATTAGCTCTGAAGAACTTGCAGACATTTTCCCTGGGCTGATAACAGGAAGGGGCTTATTGAAGTAGAGAAGCGCCAACAAAAGGAGTGGGCACATCACCACGGCAACAAATGGATCCATCGAGAGCCACGCTATTATCTCTGAGGGGGAAAAACTCTTGAGGCAACAAGGATTCATCTCAAATAAATAAATAAATAAATAAGCCGCACTGGATGGGAAAGGAAATCCCTTCCCCCGCCCCGGCACATGGGGCTATCTATGTCAAAGGGCACAATGCAAGTTTTTGCTCACCTTGATATTACGGTAAGGTGACCAACTGTCACTACGACAGTCACGATACTCATTTTAAACTCTGGACAGCAGAGAGATCAAAGACAGACGACTTGGCCACACTAAGCCCACTTCAGTACACTATGTCTGTTAGAACACTGTACTAACAAACCTGTTCCTGTGCTGGGAATAAAACCCTAGCCAGGACAGTGTGCACAGAGGGGTGAGCTCAATACGGGGGGACGTGTGGGACCGCACTGACCTTGCTGAAGGTTTAAAAAACACAAAATGAGAGTAAACTTCACCAGTCATAACCCTGAAGAAACTATAGACAAATTATAAATACTTAAGCAAACCCAACAGGGGCTTGTCTTAGTACAGATTTTTTTCTTGGTTCTAAATTCTTTTCACTGTCTCATTCTATACAGAAAGTAGGTAAAAATAAGGTTTTCTCATTTGTTAAAATTAAAGCTAAACAGTCTACTTCCAAAATTAATTTCCTGTTCACATGGCAATAAGCCTATAGAAATGTAAATCAGATAATGTTTTGATAATCAGGTAATCAAGACTTAATTTGCTCAGGAACAAACGTACTTCACTCTCCTTTGATACTTTCCTCACTAATACATCTTAACTGTGGGGAAATACAGTCCTTCATGGGATTAGCATGTCTATTAATAGAGGCTTCATCACTGAAGAAAAGCATTATGCCAACAGAATATGCACCTTCTGGGTTTCTGTTGTTGTTTTTCTCTTACATGGCTGAATACAAACCTTTTACCGGCACAGCACATTTTCTGAGCAGCAGCTGCCTAGTTAACTTGTTTTTTTAAAACAGAAATATATCCTAATAAGACACATACGTGGTGGAAAGTTTTGAGGAAAATCTGATAGATACTGATTTTTAGCTTTTAATTTACACTAAAAAAAATAAAGGCACTACAAATAGCCAGCAGCAAGAGGAGACAAATGCGTATCAGCCTCATTGTCTTGCTCTTTGGCTCTCAACCTAAACAAAAGGTGACTGTTAGCAAGGAGCTCCTGGTGCTTCTCTGCTCACAGAGTGCAGTGCTGCGTTCACTACTGGGGAAAGCCAAATGTTTGGCCGCATCTTTTCTGGTCTTACAACTACAGCTAGAGCCCCTGGCAGCGGAGTTTAGGTCTTAGATGTTTTCAGCTGCCATTCGTAGTACATATTACATATTTTGCTTCTTCCCAAGACCAGTTTGTAGACGACTGACACAGTGACTTGGTGACTTCCAAAAGTACGTCCCTCTGTTTCAGATTTGGTAAGATACCTACCAGTGCCACAACGGACGTGGCCATTTTCACCAGCTGCTGCCAACAGTGGTCCCTTAGTGACTTGAGTTATAAACAGTCTGGTAATTCTGAGTGACGGTCCTAACTACAGGAATAGGTAACTTCTATTACTCTCTGTATATCCTGATCTTCCTGTGGTGGTCAATATAATCAAGGAGTTTCTGCATCACTATGCTATTTCTTAAGTACTCCCCACAGAGACATTCTCACTGTCAGAGCTGCAGGAAACCGCTCTGGCTCTCCTCTTGCTTGCAGACTGCACAGCCTTCCCTTCACTGCATGAGTACTGGACTGAAGCCCATGGTGCACTCCAGCACCAGGCTAGTGGCCATCACTAAGGCCATGCTCTCAGCAATTCTGGGCCTGCAGAGGGCTGCTCTGACTGGACAGGGGCTGAGGGTGCTCATTTTCTGGGGAAGGCCCTGAGCTGCTTCTAGGACTGCCTGCCTGAGGAATCCTGGAGCTTCCGAGCCAGTCAAGACCAGTTTCTAAAAACAAACACTCCACATGGAGAGGAGGCAGGAGCAGCTCCAGAAACTTTTACTTTTGTACCTCATAATTTCGGTTACAGATGCTCAGATTTAAAAAAAAAAAAAAAAAAAGTTAGTGTAGGTCTAGCAGAAGTGACTACACAAGGAAACTCAGGCTACAGCTGCAGCCTTGCACAAGTCCAGAGGCTCTAAGACACGAACGCTTACAGATACATTTCAAAAGCTAGGCAAGGCCCCCTTAAAATGGGAGAGAATAGTGGATTTTAAAAAGCAAAAGTGTTACGTTGTCCTTGCAAAGGTCACCAAAGTCACAAGAAAAATACCTCTCAGTTTATCAAACACATTATAAATACTACATCAGTTAAAGAAAATACGGACTGTTACACAGCTGCACTGAAAGAATAATTTTATGTCTGTTTCCACTGACTGTTTAAAACAACCTTTAAAAACATTCTTTAAGTTTTATGTAAAACTTTATGGGAGCAAATTAAGAGTACTAGAAAACGGTTAGGAAGTTCAGCGAAACCTTACGAACTCACATGTCCTCAACGGTGATGTCCTTGAGGATCTGGCAGTAGTCCACATTCCATACAGCCTGGTCATCCCACACCTTAGAGGCAAGAAGAATGGCTCCCAAAACAATTCTTTTCCAGTTAGTGGGACAAATGTCGATCTCAGCGTAAGTTAAGAGTCTCTCCAAGTAAACCTGCAAAAGTAGAGCACTGGTCTTCAGTTCAGAGCTGCGTTTATGAGTGACAGGCCTCCTCTGTGTTTTACTAGGCAGTGCTGCAGAGACCTCAGCAGGTGGTCAGACTTCTCTGCTGCCTACCCTGTCCCTTAGGAACAGGCGTCCTGAAGAGAGCTATAATCTTCATGCCTGCAGAGCAGCCAGCAGGCCAGTGCAGACTCGGGCTGTTCAGTAACCCAAGTCTCTCCCATGGAATTGTACATGGTTTCACAGCTGCCAGTCTTCAGTCCATAGTAACCCTGTGTGGAAGGGGGACAAGAGAGCCTCCCAGTGGCTACTGGGCAGACAGCACCACAGGCACAGTGCCTTTATGAGGAATCACCTGCACCCAAGGGCGGTCTTTTACACCTCAGTTCTCCCTCTCCATTATCACTGCCAAGAAGCCATTTTCTCTCTTATGTAATTTGTGGTACGGAGCTGCCAGTTTATCCTCGGAACTCTTAAAGTGGCCAGCAGTTTGTGAGCCATTCTCATGAGTGTTCCTAAACCTATCTAAGGCCTTTGCTATAACCAACTGGGTGAAGTTACTTGAGTTTAGTGAAGACTGTGGAGGAAGCTACGAGTTGTTACTTCAAAATTCTCTCTGAAAGGCATCAGTTGTTCCTTGGTATCCAAGGGAGATTGTTTTTAGGCTCAAAAATGCTTAAGACCCATACATACACACACATACATACATACATACATATGTACGTGTGAGTGCGTGTATATATATGGCGTGTGTGTGTGTGTGTATGGCAGTGTTTGCATATAACCCTTCCTTGCTTTGTGAGGCAGGGTATCACTAAGTAGCTCAGACTGGCTCTGAACTTGTGATCCTTCTGCTTCAGTCTCCCAAGTGCAACGAATACATACATGAGCCACCCTGCTCAGCCCATATTTGCTTTAAAAATCACTTTAGATTAGTGACAATGGTAAAAACACTGTACATATGTAAATGCTAATGCCAATCTGTTTGGAGAATGACAAAGATTTGTATCCTACAGTTGGGAGAGACCAGGTGCTGAGCTCTGATGTGGAAGGCACCCCATAAAGGTATGTAAGCGCTTTATATCAAGATGAAAAGGGAAACAAATGTATTTTTAAGAGTCAGTCACTGTCTTAAGGTCATTAGACTAATGGCTCAGATTTTGGAAGGTTGCCCACCAAACACTGCATGTTCTCAGTGACATTACCTTCCCATCCACACTCAGCACTGCCAAGTACCCACGGAATGAGTCTCTCTCAGAGACAGTCAAGGAGCACTGGAGCACTGCACAGCTTGGCTGCCGTTTCCCAACAGGTATGTTAGGTGCCATCACACAGCTGAACACTTGCCCTCCCGTGTCTTTTCCCCCAACTAAAGCCAGCTCTTCTATGTGAAGGCTTGACTCCATCCCACTGTGAACAACACCTGCCCCCAAATGGCTTTCTTTTTTGAAGTCTTTCCCCCTGCCAGAGATCTAGTTCAACATACATGTTTAGATTGCTCTGATGCCACTCACCACACTCCCAAGAGCGGCTTCTCAAGCTCCCCAGATCATGAGGATCTGGGGATCACCTCCAGCCCACTACTTAGTGCACACACTTGGGTGTGCCTCTGGCTGTTATCACTATTCTAAAGTAGCTCCAGCCATGTTCATCACTCCTTCACTTACAAACAAATATGTTTTTACTCCAACTCTCCAATGTCTAGTTGAAGAAGCCCAAACTATGTGACCCTATCCAATCTGCAAGCAGTACGTGTTCTTGCTATCGTCAATGGAAACCTGATAACTTCCTATCCTGGGCCATTTTCCAATGCTTGCCTGTATGCATCCTAACACTCGGTTGGCCTCTATTCTGGCCTCCAATTACAGTCTACCCCTCCAAAAACAGGAAGGCCCCCTAAATTAAGATCATTTCCCCCCTGCTCAAGACTTACCAAAAGTTACTAGTCAACCTGGAACCGTTTCCCTGTGGAATTGTTCCTGGCATCTCCTCTCCCGATTCCCTTAGTCCGCACGCCCACCACATGGCCACCCTGCTCTCCTTGAGCACATAGGATGCTCTCGCATCAGTTCTGGCGGTGCTCCCAGCCTGCCTTCCTCTTGGCAGTTAGGCCACTGTTCAAATGCCACTTCTCTGAGGAGGTCTTTCACTCCTATCTAAACAGAAAGCTCTCTGGTCACCTAGCCTTCACCACACTCAATTTTCATGGCATACAACAACAATCTGAGACTGCAAAAACACCTGTGATCTTCTTCATTAGAATATGCACTGTTTTTATTTTTTGTTTTTTGAGACAGGGTTTCTCTGTGTAGCTTTGGAGCCTCTTGGCACTCATAGAGATCCACCTGCCTCTGCTTCTCAAGTGCTGGGAATTAAAGGTGTGCACCACCACCGCCTGCCTAGAATATACACTCTTAGGGCAAGACTTTTGTCCCTTCTGCTCTCTACTCTGCCCCGTGCTACAATGGTGCACACTTCTGCCTCACAGCATCTGCCATTGTGGGAACATAATTATCTTGACTTCTATTATTCATTCCCGGATTTCTTCCTGGTGTGCTTGGCCTCCTCCTATACAGAATCATCTTCTAAATATTGATGGTAGATCTGTGAGGGCTGTCCATTTTACTGTAAACATTCTCTGCACTTCAACAAATATTTTAAAGTCTTTACCCCTGACTCAAATTCATTCTGCAGTCCTGTATATTTAAAATTTACAAGGACCCACCCTCCCCTCCCACCAGTCTCCACCCTGCATTCCCTACCTCCACGGCAGAAGTGTCCACTGGGCCTCTACTCAGGCACACATTAGAGTCAATTGGATGCTAAAGCAGTAGGACCAACCTAAGGACTCTTTCCTCAGGCCCACACATTTGACTTTTCACTATGAATTTACTGCTGGGGCAGTAGAATTCCAACCACTTGAACAGCACCCGTTATTCAAAATGATCTCTAGGCCTTCTGGATGGGTGACACAAAGGTCAGGCCACAGCTGCAGCTCAGCAAGGTCACAAAGTCTCTCTAAGAACTGGTGCTACACACCTGGGAACTTCATAGGCAGACACAAGGCAGCGGAGGTGGGGGAGCACCCATCATCCAAGAACAAAGAACGGGGCAGAGATCAATCACAGCACACAACAGAAGCACCTGGGGCTGCAGCCTGGCCTGTGCCCTAAACTGCACTGATCCCGTTTCCATGAACCACTTGAGTCTGTCACTGCGCCATTAACGTGTCCTCTGTATGTGTACTGAGGTATGGAAGGGAACTCCCTCTTACTGCCTTTATCAGAAAATGCTTTGTGATAATAAAAGCAATGGCAACTTTTAAACCATAATGAAGGCTAAATGTAGATATGTGTCTTAGCATTCCTTGAGAAGATTCCTCTTACTAAAGTTCTTATGATAATTCCAGGGATTAAACATATCTGGGTACAAACTTTCTAATAAAGCTTGATCAGAAGGGAATAGCTTACCAACGTCACTATTGCACATTCCGCCGTCAGCTGTGCAGCGCTAAAAAGTGTACGGACAAATCTGTAAATAAATTTGTGTTCAGGGTCATGCTTAAAGTACTCCTCTGGAACTTTCTCTCTCTGAAAAAAAAACAATATAAATATTGACTGAAGGACATTTTAAGTATTCTTAAGATAGCAGTCTTTACATTGTGCCCACATGTTCTTCAAGATAATGTCAATTGGGTACTACAGCTGCTTTTTAAGCATTTACCATGTATATTTGTATATATGTGTGTGGACAGGCACAGCCATGGGGTCAGACATGTCCTCAGGCTTGGCAGCAAGTGCTTTTACCTGCAGAGCCATTTTGTTGGCCTAGGTGGTTTGACTTAGTTTTTTTATTTCATTTTTTGTTGGTATGTTTGTTTTGAGGCAGGGTTCACTTTGTAGCCCTGGCTGTCTTGGAACTCACTATGTAGATCAGGCTGGCCTTGAATTTTAGAGGTCCACCTGCCTCTTCCTCCTGAGTTTGGAGACTGAAAAGTGTGCGTTCATCATGCCCAGTGACTTTCAGTTTTTTTAATATAAACATTGTGGATCTTACAGTCAATTGGCATGAGGACATTTCAGGCAATGACAGATCAAATATATAGTATCAGTTCCATAGAATATCAACAAGTGATACTGTAGGCATCTGAGACAAGGATTCTATGGTGTTGGCAGAAGAATGAAATCACCTAACACATATGATGTACCCACAGTTAAGCAATATATGGCTGTACCGTAATTATCCACATCCATTCATAATTTATTAAAAAGACACACAAGCATAAGCTCAAAAAATGTATACCCCTCTTTTTTCCTCCTTAACTTTTTCAATTCTTTTTATGCTGAAACTTTACTAATCCTAATAATATTTCACAAGGGTCATATCTGTCTACAATGAACTTTGAAAAAAAAATTTTTTTAAAAGTTTCCTGTAACTATAGGTTCTTAACACTGAATTGTCTATATAACTCTTAAATATCAAGAGTGGCCCACATATGCCTGAGGAAGTGATTTCTTAAGTTTTTATAGGCTGTTTGCTTTCTGATTGATTACTTTGGTTCTTTTTCAAGTCAGGGTCTTACTGTGTTGCACAGGCTATTCTCCAAATCACTGTCCTGCTGCCGCCTTCAAGGTATGGAGAATACAGGTATACCCAACCACACCAGGCTTATACCATTTTAACTGATTTAAAGTTTCCTAGTTTTCTTGAGAGATTGTACATATTTGTTGAATTGATTTACAAATATTTATACAGTTTGATGTTACTGAAGATGATCTGTTGAAAAGCTGGGTTTTCTGATATTTAGACAATCCAGTTTTTTTTCCCCCTTAGGTCACCACTTGACATAGCAGCAAGCCTGTTGTTCTCTATCACAGTCATGAAACAAGGCTCCTTACTCAATCTAGGAGCAACTTTCTCTTACTATCAATCGCAAAAACAAAAGACAAGCATGGAATAAACACAGCTCTAGGAAAGAAAAATACAACTTAAAAAACAAAGCAAACAGGTACTTACTGTGAGTGGATGTGATCTCTCATCAAAAATGTCCAGGGATCTATTTGCATCCCTATAAAGTTAAACAGGTAACACAGGCTGTTAGCGTCTTAGTTAGTAACTGTGAACGTAGGGGCTGAAATAGAAGCCCAGCCTTTAATAAAGCAACAGTTTACAATTCCTCCTGGATTCCATCTTCAAACCTCTTCCTATTCAGTTCTGCAGCATCTACACCAGTTAGTGGTGTCAACAACCAAATCAGTCAACAACTGACAACTTGGGTGAAGATGAATGGAGTTTAAGTTTCACAAGTTTCTGCCTCTCTTTAGCTCTCTGCATTATGTTTATTTTTAAATTATGCACATGCTTCTTTAAATAGTTAGGAATTAAAACTTAGATGCCCTTTTTATTTTAAAACATCACTTTTTCTTTTTTACTTAAAGGTTGAGCAGACAAATAGCCCACATATTTAAGCACTGCGTCTCTGCAGTTGTGGACTCATGAGGAGTCCCCCGAGCAGGAGGCACACGGCCCCGACTGTCCATCGTATTAGAGCACTGCCTGCTCCTCACTGCCGTGCGCTGTGCACACTCCTTGTTACCTTCTCCACTGCCACTGGACTTGTGTTTTATAATCCTGCTGCTGAGCTCTTCAGCCTTTGATGAAGCAGGAAACTAATGTCACTAACTCCTGACCCTTCTTTTTCACGCGCAGTGTTTGTGATTTGCCTGTGAACTCAACCAGCTCCTTATTACAGAATATCATTTTTATGAATAACCACAACTACTCTCAAAGATGGATGTAGTGGGCCTGTCACTTTGAGGAAAATATAATTTGTCATGATAAAATTCAAGCTGTCAAGCTTTTGGAAGACGAGATTGGGGACGTGTGCATTGTGATACATGCCTGACAGCTTTCCAGTGCTCACAAAGGTGATCATTACTGCCCTATGACAGGACATGCCATGGAACTATATACTAAAGATTCAAAGAGTGTAATATAACAGCTCACCGTGAAATATAAACTATTACCATGGAAGCATTCTGATGGAGCTTTAGTGTAGTACTAGAGAGTATCAGAAAAATCTAAAAGCTTTAAAAATAACTTCCTCTTAAATGTATGTGAATAAAGGACTGGCTTCTAGCTTCTTCAAAACAGATGAAAGGGAAGAGAGAAACATGAAAATATACTTGTCTTTCTACTAAGTTATACGTTAAAGAGATTTGTAAGAATGCAAATGATGTATCTTCTCTCAATATTTTGATGCAGAAAAAGTTTTTTTTTTTTTTTAAAAAATTATGTTAAGGTGGTTCTTTGCTGTGATTTTTGATTGTCACAATGGGAGTGGACAATTGTAACATGGTTAAACATCCTACAATGCATGCAGACATAACAAGAAATTGGTTTAAAAAATTAGTAGGATCAAGCTTGAAAAGTACTGTGCTTGTTACAATGTATGTTTTTAATTTTAATATATATAAACCAGCAAGTATCGATATAAGAAAACCATACTTTTTAGAACCTTCAATAACTAAGAGCTCTTAAAGGATCTTAAGAACAAGAAACTGTAATAAGAGATTCATATCAATATTTAATAAAAGCGCTCTACAGAGTCTGATACCCACATTCCATCTTAGTAGTATATTTGGTATTATGTGAGGTAATTAGGTACAATAGTAAGACAAGTTTTAAGAAGCTCACCTGTTCTTTATGTGGTAATATATTGCTAAGGTCACACTGTGGAAGGAAAGAAAAATTATTTGAAGTAATTCATTTTATCATTTTTAAGCAGGGCTGGCCTTCCCAGAAGCCCTGAAATCCATGAAGAACTCTTACACAACTGACAACATGCTGTGAGAAGGCATGCTAGTTGATTATGATCATGTGTACTCTGTCATCTGTCCTGTGCAAGGTGCACTATTTGTACACAGGTTTCAGTTCGTTATCCAGTTAGTCACCACAAATGATCAGCTCCCTACGGTGAGCAATGAAAAGCCCTGCATACGGGATAAGAGCGTTTAAGATCACCTCTGTGTGATTATTAGTAGATGCGGCTGAGTGCCGACAGTACAGCGCAGCAGCAGTAATGGCAGCTATTTCTAACGTCGCTGAAGTGAAATATCAATAGTAGACACACCCTCCAGACATGTATTACTCCTAAGCTTGCCACACATGATGGGAACTAGGGAACAGAGTTTTTTTTTTTTTTCCATCTGCCCTTACCAGCTAAAACAAAACTCGAAATATTTGAGGGAAGGCAAATCTGAATTTTAGAAGTAGTTATATATATTTTAAATTTAAAAATTTGGATTTTGTAACATTACTGACATCGAAGATGGATACTTCTACAGTGCTTCCGGTTTACCCTCAGACTGATTTTAAAATCACACACAAAATTGGCTCCGAGAAGGACCACTAAGATTTTAGATTTACATGACAGCTCACACAACAACCACGTTTACAGAAAAGGGAGAACTGATGCAGCTAAGGCCCCCCGAGCAGACGGCCACAGTCCTGTATTCTCATTAAGCAGTGGCTCCCACGCTGCCTCCCACTGCAGTCCGAGCAATTGGCACAGGGCACGACTTGGGCATCAACATTACTTCTCAGGTTCCCAGGGTGATTGCCAAGGGGCTATGGTTAAGGTCAAAGGACCTGCCTGGACACTTTTTGACAGTGCAATTAGTACCTCACATGCATCTCCCTCCTTAAAGATGCCTGAAAGGGACTAGGAATTGAGGGAAAGGCAAATTGACGAAAATGCATGTGCTCACAGACATGTATTTTTCTTTTCTTAAAGACAAGGTCTCATGTAGCCGAGGCTGGCCCTTAACTTGCTATGTAGCTGAGGATGAGCTGGAACTCCTGAATCCTGCCACCTCAGCCTCCCAATTGCTGGGATATGAGCTGCCAAGTTCATTTGCAGGCATGTATACGGGAAAAAGTTGTGAGTCAAAATGGTTTCTTAATCTCCTTGAAAGCCATACATTATTGCCTATAATAAAACACTTTTCAAAATCTTTCCTAAAAGTCAATTTGCTCTAATTTTCTTGGTTGACTTCATATGTAAATGACTCCATTTTTAGAATTTAATTAAAGAAGACAAATTAAAACTATCCTTCAAAAGTAGCTTCCAAAAACTTATTAGATTACATCGAGTTGGGGGAGGGGCATGGAGCCGATTAGTTTGACAGCACTGCTGTTTGAAAATATGTACTGAATTATATATGTACTGAATTATATATAGAAGCTGCAGAATCATTTGAATTCGAAGTGATCTCAGGACTCTAATGAAACTTCAATCATCCTTTTGCTCACAGACTGAGTTTTTTGCAAATACCAACACACTCAGTCTTTACTTAACAGAAGACTGAGAAGTGGGGCTTGGTTTTGCTAACACACAATTTAATCTCAACGCTGTGGTGAGTATAAAAGGAGAGGCACATGATGATGAAGAAGAACTTGCAGCTTTTAAATGAAGAAATTACTGACAATTGGCCAAAACGAATTTAAAATGCTAGTACATTAGAAACAAAATTAGGTTTATAAGTTGATTACTATTTGAGACTAAGGGGTAAAGTTAGGGAAAAAGGCACAACACCCTAAACAAGCATTTCCCAAACTACATTTAATTAAAAAAAAATCAAAATTTAACAACATACCCAAGAAACACTGCCTGGAAAACTCCAATGCAATGGGAGAAGCTCTGCATTTTGGGGGGGGGGGGGTTACTGTATCAATCTGAACTCATCTTAGGGTATTCCATGGTATTTTCAACTATAACCTATACATGAGGCTGCCGTGTCCTGTGTCCCACGGCAGAGGCACCCACAGCTGCAGACTTCCCTGGGACTTCTCACTACCGGGCTCCCCTTTCCACCATGCAGTTTGAATACAACGGAGGCTGAAACTTGACATTTAGTCCCTTAAAAGTCAGTATCTAATGACCCCCATTTCTTGGAACGGGGTGCTTAATAGATAAGCAAATGACTGAAATCACCAAAAATGGCTGGGATGCTTTTAGCAGAGGGGTCTGTTGCTCAGCGCTGGGCAGCCTAGTTGTACTCACCATTTTATTGTGGTTCTAAGGTTAGGCTGGCTGACTGTGCTGTCATCTAGAAATATTGTTGAGCATGAGCTATACTTTTTAGTAAGGTGCCCTGGAGATACCTGAAGGGGAAGGGAAATAGAAGAGAATGTCACAGTAAGTTAAACCTATAAAATGTGCTCTTTTTCCTTGGTTAAAAGGTCAAATGATAAAGCATTAATGTATTTTTACAGTCTATGAACTGGCTGGTGTAGCAGCATGTGTGGCTCTGCAGGGAAACCACTGGAGGCTTTTAATGTCCCCAGATCACGTTTGGGGAATGGGCTGTAAAATGCAGCTCTTGGTATGATACCTATAAAACCAAACCTGTGAAGTACCTATTATCAATTTCCTTTATAAGTGGTACAAAAAGTTTTAAGTAAGATTTCAGTGTTTTTTCTTAAACAAAAGGCAGCTTCTACTTCTATACTATCACTTTAATAAAATACAATGCCTTCAAGAGCATCATCATACTATAGTAAATACAAGATGAACACTAAGTATCTTTGTGGCTGAAAGTGTTCTGAAGTCAGAGTTGGTGTGCCGGGCTGCTCACCTGCCAACAAGCCAGGGGCCACAACTTTCTCTAAGCCCACTCCCTTAAGCGTTAGCATTTCCTCACATCTGAGAACAGAAGGCTTCATGTCATGTGCAAGCACAGTGCCTGCCACCTGGTACTTAAACGCAAACTCAAGTGTGATTCTCCCCTAGCCGTTTAGCACACACCACAGCACCTTCCTGCGGACTCTCCCCTAGCCGTTTAGCACACATCACAGCACCTTCCTGCTGCAGACGCCATTGTCCCCCTCTTTGTCTTTGAACCCCACCTACCTTCTAGCACATCTCTGCCAACAGCCACACCACAGAAAGTGTCTATTTGGGTACCCTAAACTGCCTGAGGATATCCCCCTCATACAAATCTAAGCCTCTCCAGAGAAGGACTCTCAATACCCCTACCACCAAGTGCTGAGCACACAATCTTAACAGCTTATGGTAAAAATATTTGAAGAATTATTAGTTAAGAATTATAGTGCTGGAGCTGTAAGCTTAAGGCCCTGGGTTCAACTCTAGAACTGAAAAATTAACTATAAATTGGGAGATGAATCTTACCAGAGACATAAACTAGTGAAGAACTATCTACAGTGTCACTGGGAAGAAGACGACTCTTTGAGCCCTCTCAACAGTCTTTAAAACACTTTAGAAGTATCCATTCATTTGCAAGAATACAGCCATATCAGACAATGGAACAGCCTAAAGTATGTTAGACCCATATAGTCCATGGTCAAAGAGTGTCACTGAATGAAGATCAACAGCAACATTCTTTAAAACAGAATACCAAAAACTTAACATTCTTAGAAAACAGCAAAAAAACACTAATTCAGATGCGCCTTCCTTTACTCCTGTAATTAATGATTCCTACCATACTATCACTTTGCCCATCAGTACTTTCTCATAGACACATGGAAAACGGGGCAGGCAAAAGACACAGTTGAAAGAACAGAACATAGAAAACTACTAGAAGCTCACAATCAGTAATACCCACATGGTAGATAAAACGGGTTGTTTCTTTCTAAAAACACTTGCTCCATATCAAAATGCCCCAGGTGTTGTTTTTGAAAAGTACTATTTTAAAGACTTTTTTCAAGCTAGAAGTGTTTTTCTTTCTTTTATTTCTTTTCAAGATTTTAAAAATTATATATACAGTGTTCTGCCTGCAGGCTAGAAGAGGGCACCAGATCTCATTATAGATGTTTGTGAGCCACCATATGAATGCTGGGAACTGAACTCAGGACCTCTGGAAGAGCAGCCTGTGCTCTGAACCTGAGCCATCTCTCCAGCCTGCCAGAAGTGTTTCAATTATATCTAAAGCTGTGATGTTTCTTAAGCTATTCAGCTACTATGTGCACTTTTATTACCTGTGTGTTAAAGTACATACTTTTATAAGCCCAAAAGGTAAATACAACATGAAAAAGGAAACTGATTTTCATTGAAAGCTTTTATTCCAATGGAAGATACCTTTTAGGGTCACTATTATAGGCTGAAGATCTCAAATCAAAATTCCTTGGGACAGAAAATACTGTGTGTTGACTAGTGTTTTTTTTGTGAACTTGATACAAGCTAGAGTCGTTTTGGAAGAGGAAGCCTCAATTGAAAACCATCCCCATTAGACTGGCCTATTGGCAAACCTGCGGTGCATTTTCTTAATTGATGATTGATGATAAAGGGCCTGGCTCACTGTGGGTGGTGCCACATCCAGGCTGACAGTCCTGTGTGCTATAAGAAAGCAGACTAAGCAAGCCATGGAGAGCTAGCAAGTAAGTAGCACTTCTCCATAGCTTCCTACAACACTTCCTGCCCCATTCCTGCCCTGAAGTACCTTCCATGATGATGGGCAAAACAATCCCTTTCCTTCCCAGATTGCTTTTAGTCATAGTATTTCATCACAGCAAAAGAAACCCGAACTAAGATAGTGGGTTTTGGAAGACTGACACACATGTACGTAAATATGTAGTATGCAATCACACACGTGTGTACACATATATACATATGTATGTATGAATTTCCTGCGGATGGGACCCAAGTCTGTGCTCCTCTCACACACAAGCAGTCTAAAGGTAACTTTGTCAGTTTTTGCTCTTTGCCTGCTACTTCATCTCATGAGGTCAGCTGTGGAATTTTCCACTTGAGGTTGGCACTCAAAACGTTTCAGATTTCAAATAAGGAAGTGCAACTTGTATTAAGGAATAACAGCATATACATGGTAACAATTAATTTTGACAAAAAACTTAGACGGGAATAAAAATGAAGTCAAAATAAAATATAGACCTTCTGGTGATGCTTCACCCATCCGCCTCCATATACATGGTTTCTCATCATGCATGTATACTGGCTTGTCTTTGGAATACTAAAACATTTCATTAGATTCAGTCTAATCCTACTCTCTCAGGGGCTCACTTAGCAAATCAGCAACTTACTGGCTAGAAACACCAAACACTGCCCCCATCAGGTCAGACTCTGAACTCCGGATAAAGACAGACTCCTCTATTCAACTCAGAGCAGCCACTTCTGCTCCCCGCTGCTGCCCTCTTCAGGACACACTCCCAGTTCCGACCAATACACAGCAGGGGACATAGCACTCCTGTCCAGATAGTCAAACTTTTCCTTCTGGGAACTAGACAATAGCAGAAGTAAATCTCTGAGCAATGCCTGTAACATCACTGTGAAGGGAACTTTGTCTTGATGGTGACTGGAAACTTAATAATTGTAGTTACTACTTTTGCTGGCTTATAACTGCCATAAGCTACACTAATAAATCTAAGCCTACAAAATATTTTTTTAAAAAAAAAAAGCAGCAAAAAGCACTACTAATAGGTGGTTCCTAAAATAGAGACAAAGAACAACTCTATCATTATTCAGTCAGCACATGTATGCATGTGCACATATGCATGCAGGATAAAAAAGGAAAAAAAATCAGGCATGTCTCTGTATGATAACCATGTTATGTAACTGTGAGTAAGTAAAATAAAAATGGTATTAAGTCAGACTTCCCTAGGTAAATTCATTATCTGCGAGGAGACTGTAGAAAATGTACAGAAAGTCTACACTAACAGCACTGCATACCCACTGTATCACTGAAGGCGCAATTCAAAACCAATTTCTTAAGTTTCAAACTATTTACTTACATGGTTTAAATGGTTGCTCTTCCTCTTTTCACGCACTAAGAATAAAAAAAATTAACTGATCAATTCTGATACAAATGCCACAGAAAAATAAAAGTAGCTGTTACTTATCTGATGGACTACCAACATGCAAAGTCAGATAAAATTCAATTCTACTTAAAAAAATAGTTCTAACAAAATAAATTTGTCAAAATAAACTGCATAAAGTATATTGAAAAACTAAATTTTATTTTTAACCTAGTAGACAATGTAGTAGGCACAAACAAGAATTTTCATATACAAAAGAAAATGACAAACTACATTAGGGCAGGTGAGAGATTCGGCTAATAGAAACATCTGTCATACATCCAGCACTAAGCCTACCTGAAAGAGCGTTTCAAAAGAGTGTGCTACACTAACCGAGCAGGACATCTACGGCACACACTCCAGAAAGAGCCTTGGCCACACCATTTCCCCAGTCTCCTCTGTGAACACTAGACTGTACTCTTAAGACACATACTCCTTCCCACTAATGGGGGGCAGGTACAGCTAAAAATTTTATTTTATTATTATTTTTTTTTTTTTTAGGGTTTTTTCTGTGTTGCCCTGGCTGTCCTGGAACTCACAGAGATCCGCCTGTCTCTACCTCCTGAGTGCTGGGACTAAAGGTGTGCACTGCCACCTCTCAGTTAAGAGAGCTTCCACATGTGCACAGAGAGATACGGCACCACTAACCAGAATCAATAGTTCAAGACAGGCAGACTCGACAAGCTATGAAAAGCAGGCCTGCAGCACCACCCTCTTCTTAACACGGGCTGCATACTTGCATCATTCCCAGTATTACCGTAGGATCCTCACTTCTCACAGTCAACAGTGGGAGGAGGTTAACCAAACATTACAGAAAATAGTCTGGAAGAATTCCACAGTTCAGACTCTCAACCTAAAGCAAGCAAGATAGAAAATTCACATACCAGCAAACCTTCTAGGAAACATTAGGACATGTTTGCTTTAAGTTCTGCTGCAACAAGACAAAGAGGTTTTAAATAGCCTGAAATTTTTGAGTCACATAAATCTGGGTGTGACACAGGCTTACAGAAGTGTGGCACTATATGAAATGGGTCAAAATGACCATATATAACACATTTGTTTTGGCATTACACCTAAAAATCTAACAGAACCCTAAACTGTGTCATTTGTCTTTAAAACACACTACTGGATTAAGGAAGAGAAGGAAAGAGGCAGACAGACGTAAATCCACACCACTTCTAAATCACGTGTCTGCACTGCAACAAGGTGGGAGTGTGTCTACAAAATCCGCAGGCCGTCCCTGAAAGAGTGATGTCAGAGCAAAGCATATCGTCACATATCAAATATAAGTACATTAAGAGTTTAAGTCAGTGTATAAATTCCAAGAAATATTTCCAATAATGCATCATACTGAACAGAAATGGTTTTCAGGCCTTCCTCAGTGGGGAAAAGTGTCTTACCATCTGTCTGAGATTTGCTGAGGAAAATTGTGCTTGCCCTGGGGTGGTCAGAAGGATTTGATTCCAAAGCTAAATCTACAGAAGGAAAGAGAAAGACATGATTATTTGTCTCAGAAGAAGCGAAGGTGGTTTTGAAAATCATGATTAACACTTCTAACTTTGAGGAGAAGGGTTTTCAGACATGAACATGAGAAAATAAAAGCAATAACAAAAATTCTATAGAAAACTGCAGAATCTCTCTCCATGTGAAAACTACTATGTCCTAGACTCTTTAAATGTATTCCTAAGTAACCTCATGAAACTTTAATAGAATCATATACATACATATATATATATATATATACATATCCCTCCTACTTATCTAACATATGTGCTGATGTTACTAAAAGTTTCCAAACTAGCCTCAAGTCAACTTACTGTCAGACACAGCTCAATATATCAAATATGCGACAACAAAGACATCAGGTTTTTAAAAACATTCTTTAACCACTTGATGAATTCTAATTTCATCAGACAAGAGAACTTGTTTAGTTAGCTGTTTATGTGGAAGCAAGCCATCATGCAGATGTAAGGCTGCATAAAAATCAATGGCCTAACCCACCTAACTTTCATGGATACAAACTGATTTTTAACTTTTGGCCTCAATCTCTTAGGCTGCACTCACTCACTTCTTGTTGCAACCTACCTTGGGAGCAAGATGAGATCATCTATTTAACCAAGGCCACAAGACAGACAGACTTCTCTCTCTCCTCTCTCTCCTCTCTCTCTCCTCTCTCTCTCTCTCTCTCTCTCTCTCTCTCTCTCTCTCTGTTTCTAGGTGTGTGTGTGTGTTTGCTTTCTGTTTTTCAAGACAGGGTTTTTCTGTGTAGCCCTGGATGTCCCGGGACTCTCTCTGTAGACCAGGCTGTCCTTGAATTCGCAGAGATCCACCTGCCTCTGCCTCCCAAGTGCTGGTACTAAAGACATGCACTACCACTGCCCAGCAGAAGACAGATTCTAAACTAACCATAATGAACACTTTGCCATCACAGGGAATCAGGAAAGTTGTAATGAGAAAGGAAAAAACTATGGCATTTCTGAGCAATGCTCATCTCAAGCCACTTAACCGGTCTTGTCAGAAACTGGAACAGGATCGGGGCAGAGAAATGGTATGACAACACTTCCTGAGTCTTGCCAGCCAACATTCTACTCTTGAAAAAGGGGTTTAGTGGTGAATCACAGTGTACCTACTACATCCTTGGCTTGTACAGAATACACACTTTAACAGTCAGCTCCACTGGGCTGGAAAGTTGGCTCAGCAGTTAGCATACTGTTCTTTGGGGGATCCAAGTTCCATTTCTAGCACCCACATGACGTGGCTCACAACCGCCTATCACTCTAGCTCCAGGGGACCCAATGCTCTCTTCTGGCCTCCTTGGGCACGTGCACTTTTCACACACCCCAAGAACAAAACCTAACTCTAATAGCCCTACTCAACCAGCACTACTGTCTAGCTCGGCATTTCACAAATACATACACTTAGAACCACCTTCCTTCCTCCAAGCAACAAGCACGGAGTCCTGCATAAACGTAATTCAGGACGTCCTTGTGGAACAGGAATTTGAATCGCCTACTGTATTTTATTTTTAAGTTATTTACTTAGAGATAATATCGCACATTGTAGTTTGAGCTGGCTTGAACTCTTGGATCTTTCTGCCTGCCTCAGGTTCAAGAGGGCTAAGATTAAAGGCGTGTAGCAGCTGAAGAGAATTATTCTAAAGGATCCCCCTCAAAATTACTTGTAAGATTTTCTGACATCTTTAAGTGTGAAACAAAGTTCGCTACGTGGAAAACAAAGCCATGTGTGCATGAAGTGACAGGCAGAGATCTAAGCTGGTCTAATCTAAAGCTTGTTTCTAAAGCGACAGAGGACGACCTCCTCCTAAAAATCAAACATATTGCCATTTGAATTAAAATGTAGCTTGCAGATCACACTATTAAAAATAGCTTTTGAAATAGCTATATCATGTAGCAGTCTCTGTGTCACAATAAAAGTTCTTTATAAAATTTCAGTAGATAGGGCTGAAGTCATATATAGCTCAGTCAGTACAGTGTTTCCCTGGGTTTGATCCCCAGATCTGGAAAAAAAAAAAAAAAGAAAATCTAAGGAATTTCATGAGTACAAGAAAATTAAGTATGAAATCAAAGAAGACTGTTTAAAACATGCATGTAAATAGAGTGGCTAGAGAGATGACTCAGCAGTTAAGAGCATTTGTTCTTGTAAAAGACCTTAATTTGGTTCCCAGCATTCTGTTGGGCAGCTCACAATGGCCTGTAACAACAACTTCGGGACATTTAACACTCTTTTATGGCCTCCTGGGATACACATATGTGCACACACACACACACACACAGACATACACTCAGGTACACATACATTCACATAAAATACATTTTTAAAAAAGCCAAATGATAATGTACAATTTTGGACCTAAAGACAAAATCTAAGGTTGTGATAAAATCAAGAACATGTCTTGGAGAGAAGGTTTTGGAGTGGGTACATGTCCCAGGGATGGCCAGTCTATCACAACTCTCAAGACAAATGTGCTGTAGGGCATTAGCTAGTTAGGAGACGCAGTGATTTCCGGGAGGAAAGCCTTTTCAGCAGAGATGAACCAAAACCCATTCTGAGACCACAGAATTCACAGGTCAAGCGAAACTTAGTTTAGTTCCCTCTGAACTCCTTGTGAGTACACACTGATTTTGAGATAGATTTCCACTGATGCATAATAATAAATAACAGTTAATCAGTATTATGGATCACATTAAAATGAGATGGATAAAAGTCTTCCTTAGCAACAGAAATTAGCAGAAGCTAAAATAACGCTTCATTAAAAAAAAACTACCAATAGATATACTCACAATAATGAACTTTCAGCTATGTTTCTTGTAGATTTTTACAAAAAGTTAAAAACAGTGTAGCTCAGTGCTTAGATACCTGCCCCTGGGTACTGAACCACAAGAAAACAAAACCTCTTATCAGTTCTAAACAACACAAAATCTCTTTTCAGCTCACAACTTGTGTTGTATTAAAGAAAATCACTCCCACCCTCAAAGTATTTATTGTTGAATAATGTATAATGATACAGCAAGTATTATTCCCATTCTAGCTTAGCCAGTCCAGTATCGGGGATTTAGACACAAAATTCTGTCTTTATGAGTACACAGTACTTTTTTTTTTTTTTAGTACACTGTATTTTTAAATAATGCTGCTTATCTCTTTAAGAAAGACCTTCAAATGTGGGCTCATAGTTGGGTAATTTTCATGGCTGCAATATACAACATGATACAGCTTTCCAAAGAAGTGAAGGCACAGGCTGAGGTGTATGAGGTAACTAGCAATTATGTCAGTTCTCACTGCTCTCTTAGTTTTAGACACTTAAAAAGATTCCTGACGTTTGTGAATGAGGAACGTTACTGTGACTCTAGCTTGCATATATTTGGTTACAGGTTGGCCACTCTCCCATAGTTAAAATATTTTCACATTGATCAGCTTTTAAAAAATCACTTATATAAAGCCTATAGGAATTATATACACCAGGGTTTCAATGCCAATTTGCTTAGCGTTTTGAGAAAATACAGATGTTATGTAGCTACCATAGTTTTCCATGTCCTAGGTACTTTCCACTTACTATAATCATCACATGCTGCTATTTTATACAGAATGGAAATAAGCCAGTAGACAGTGGCCCTATACACAAACTATATTATTTCTGTACTCCCTTAACTCTTCCCTGGAGCCCATGGAGACACTGGTGAGTCATACTACTCAACTCACTGTGTACCAGAGGCAAAATAACCAACTCCAGACCAAAGCATTAGGATCCATAAACACACGTTCTGCACACACACTTGGATTTAGGAAAATGAGAACACACCAATTACCATGTATCTTCTACGTAAGCAGAGCTGGTGAGACAGCTCAGCTGATAAAGGTGCTCAATGAACAAGGATGAGGACCAGAGTGTGAGCCCCAGCACTCATGGACAGTCAGCACCTAACACTGCATCTGTGGTTCCAGAAATAGAGAGGTAGAGAGAGACAGGCAGACCCTGGATGTCTTAAATAGGTGGAGCAGGAATGAGCAGGAGCACCCTTTCCCCGACTGTCACATATGAACATGTAATACACACACATAACGGACACATCTTTCACAAAGAAACCTCTAAGAATGCTCTCAACTAGGACAAATAAGTCAAGACAAGGATTATGATTCAAATTATGATTATGATAAAATTATGATTAAGATCCACCATTTTTGAATTATCAGTTAAAGTTGCGATTCAGTTTGAAACCAATGGTAGGTAAACTGCTTTTCCTCCAGACCAAGAATCTATACCTTGTATGATCCACCTTAATCACCTATCAAAAATACTAAAAAAATCCACTCAACTTAGAATAACTAAATGTAGTGCTGAAAGCTAAAATATTAACATTACACAATCATAATCCATCACAAAATTTCCTTATCAAAATACTAAAGAAGGCAATGACCAAGACATTGGCAGATAGAAACAGCACATTTCAGGTGTGGGGGAAGTTGATTCCAACATAGCAATTTCAATGTATCACAGTTAAACAGAGTATGTCAGCAGTTCCTGGGTACCCGTCTAAAGACAGTCTACTTACTGACATGCCCCATCACCCCTTAACATGCATGTGCTGTACTAGTTTTGTGGTTTTGAACACAAACATTACAAAATTCACAACTGCACTGTCAGATGACTCTATCAGAGTCTACACTTTACATGGTTTACCTCAGCGGAGGGTCCTCAATCTAGAGGTCACTGCTGCCCAGCTTCCCTAGCCTCCAATGAACCATTCCACTTCTGCGCCTGCCCCTCCACCAGCTCTCAGTATTTGCCTGCCCTAAATCTCAATCTATGTTTTAATGGCTGTGATCATTCATATATTGAAACTTTTTTCCTTAGTCTATTTCTTGAGAGGATTTTATTTACTTAAACTTTGAAGATCATTTCTAGGTTACACAATTACTACCTTCACTTCATCGTATGTTCCTCAACATTACTGCTGGA